CATTTAACAAAAATGTACAACCAACATTGCATCCGCTCGTTGATATAGATTAACTTTTATGAATCAAGTGACGCGTGAATGTGAACGTAGCACGCCGTAGGTTTTCTGGCAGTAAAGAGCAATTAACGACGCGTCCGAACGCGTCGCGGACGTGACAAGCTGTGACACCATCGCAAAAAGTGTCACACCAAATATCCTGGTCACTGTTCGGGCTCTCCTGCCGCAGCAGAAGCAGGTCCCTTCCCCTGTGTTAGAACTGTAAACTCAACATAGTACATGAGTTATATATTCAGCCTTTTACAGCTGTGATCCAGTACTTGTTTTGTCCATTAATTACACAGACTTGTGCTTCCTGGAAATCAAGCTCATCTCTATCAAGGATAGAGAATGCACCCACTGGTGTGCACATAGATATGTTCCAAATGTTTCTGAAGACAATACATAACTTCCCTAAGCACTCTTTTGCCGACCTCGGTAAAATCAACCATCATTTCATCCCGATGGTGGACAGCTCAGGAATAAGAAGAGACAAACATGTTTATATCTACTGTAATGGTAGAATACCTTTCTTGCTGGTTTAAAATAGTGATATACATTGCTCATGCATGCATAAGGTGAGAATGGAGCAGAGGAATGCACAAGAATACGAGGGGATACTTGCGACCACCTTTCAGCCACAATCTGCTGACAAATCAACTCGCACCGGAACCGGGCGTTGCGCCTCCCCACTGATTTAGGTCTGCACTTCCATATCGGTATTTATCTTGACGAAGTGACTCCGCACAGGCGTGCGCCTTGAGCACCTTTACCCTCTGCCTCGACGTTAGAAAGACCCTCAGGCGACCAGAAGTCTACAAAAATGGCCAGCGAGGAACATCTGGAGAAGAATGATCACGAGTCTGAGTCCGAGGAAGAGGAGGAGGAGCAATCGATCCCCCAGGTCGATGTCGATGTAACAAAATTAACGCCTTTGACACCAGAAGTCATTGCGAAGCAGGTGGGCACCCTACCGATGACTTCTATCCGTCTTGTATTTACTGGAGAATAGGCTACAATTAACATAGGTGGGGAGAGGTGTCCGACTCCGTCGATCGACAGTACTGACCAGAGGTATCAGGAACAATTGGTCACGTCGCCCACGGAAAATCCACGGTCGTAAAAGCAATATCGGGGGTACAGACTGTGCGGTTTAAGAACGAGCTGGTGCGAAATATCACGATCAAGCTGGGTTATGCAAACGCAAAGGTGGGGATTGCAGTCTTTCGCGCTTGTGTCCGGGCCTGACGGCGCGTTCTTTCGCCAGATATACAAGTGTGAAAATCCTGCATGCCCGCGACCGGGTTGCTACCGGTCATATCGCTCCGACAAAGAGGAGAACCCACCATGTGAACGGCCAGGATGCAACTCCCGTATGAAACTTGTCCGGCATGTCTCCTTCGTCGATTGTCCTGGTCACGACATTCTCATGGCTACCATGTTGAACGGTGCTGCGGTCATGGACGCCGCTCTACTCCTTATTGCTGCGAACGAGACTTGTCCACAGCCTCAGACGTCTGAGCACTTGGCAGCTGTGGAGATCATGAAACTGGAACACATCATCATCCTGCAAAATAAAGTGGATCTCATCAAGGAAGCCCAAGCCTTAGATCACCAGAAGAGCATTGCAGCGTTTGTCAAGGGCGAGTGTTGTTCATTTTATCTTCCCGCTCAAGAAGTGACTGGGATCCTCAGGAACTGTCGCGGAGTCATCACCCATTGTTCCTATATCGGCCCAGTTGAAATACAACATTGACGCTGTGAACGAGTACATCGTGAAACGCATCCCCGTCCCAGTTCGAGATTTCACTTCCACACCCAAGCTCATTGTCATCCGTTCATTCGACGTGAACCGGCCAGGTGCCGAGGTCGACGACCTGAAGGGCGGTGTCGCGGGTGGATCAATCTTGTGCGGCGTGCTCAAACTCGGCCAAGAGATTGAGATTCGGCCTGGTATTGTGACCAAGGACAGTTCCGGGCGGAACCGCTGCGCACCCATTTTCAGCCGGATAGTGTCCCTACACGCCGAGAATAACCTGCTGGACTATGCGGTCCCTGGTGGACTGATTGGTGTCGGAACAAGAATTGACCCTACGCTCTGTCGTGCGGATCGTCTCGTCGGTCAGGTCCTGGGTGCTCCAGGGAAGTTGCCGCAGGTATACTCAGGTAAGCGTTGCCTAGTCTCTCTTCTTCCGAAGTGCACACTTCAATTCTCCTAGAACTGGAGATCAATCTCTTCTTGCTCCGTCGACTACTGGGTGTGAAGACAGAGGACAAGAAGCAGACGAAGGTGTCGAAACTCACCAAGAACGAGCTTCTACTTATCAACATTGGGTCCACATCCACCGGTGGACGGGTGCTGAACGTGAAGGCCGACTTGGCAAAGATCCAGCTTACTTCGCCCGCATGTACAGAAATTGGAGAGAAGGTTGCGTTGTCACGTCGTATCGAGAAGCACTGGCGGTTAGTCGGTGAGTCTTCTTGAGTCTTTCGCCCTCTTGGCATAATAGCTGAATTTTGGCCGTTAATTAGGTTGGGGAAGTGTACAGCGCGGAACAGTGTTAGAAGTGGACTGATGTATTCACGTTACATAAATCGCTGTATCACGTAGATCTTTTCATTGCTTTGGGAAATGTATCTACCAGAAGACATCCCTGTCATTCCGGTGTATGCCTTTGACGACACAGCACGGGTGAGCTGAATCGAATGTATATTGAGCGGTGGTGGCGGATATAATCGATTATGTGCAATACAGGTAGTACATGTTGCTATGTCGTGATACGCTGCGGTCTGATAAGGTCCAGCTCTCGGGCATCGATACCTCGGAACGGCCTGGTCTTAACATGCCTACTCTCTAGTTCTCGTTTGCTGAGCCATGCATAGAAAAGCTCCGCGCAATCCTTGGCCTGAGAAACAACGAAACGAGATATTGAGTTGAAAGTCCTGCTCGAGACCAATAAGTTGAATACGCACCACGACGAAGAGACCAAGGCCTATGGTGTTTCGGAACCTGCTGTAACATGAATTCGCGAAGGATATAGAAGGTGTCGGACCAACTCACCAGACAGGGTCCATCTCATTCCAGCTCCGCGTACCATGCATGATCACCCGAAGCACGGCCCAGGAGAACGTCGTGACCTGCTGAGCAGGCGTGAGCTTGTAAAAGGCAGGCGATATAGCCGAAGTAATCCGGAGCCCTACGCTCATCGGGGGCTTGACGCCCAGGAATTTTCGGAGCAGCGATGAATGCTGGGAGAGTCGATACAGAAGGGTGCCCATACGATTCGATATCGTAGGTATCATCAGCGCACCACCGATCAGCCTCCCGATGGACGAGCTCGTATACCGGGCTGTAGGCTGGTTGTCGTTTTCCTCTGCGTCACCGTCCTCATTTCCGCCGTCACGCTGCTGTGCATCTGCGTGTTGCTGTCCTGCTTGCACCTGTCCTTCCCGGCGCCGCTCACCCAGAACGTTGGCCGCGATCCGAAGCCGTAAGGGGCCGGCTCCGCCCTCATCGAAGTCCCATAGGAAGCGGCGCATTCGCCTACCGTCAGGAGCTCGCGCAGGTTGCGTATCGAGCACGTAGTGGCAGAAACGGTTCCAGCACCGCCTGTATAGACTTTTGACCCCCAACCATAAAAATATCGACAAAACGGGCCCTGGGGGCCAGGATAGGAACCCCTCTTGGTTGGGTGCAAGGGGGAAGTAATCGGTGTCTGGAGCAGGCCGGAAGAGGGGAGCTCCGTCGGTCTGTACAGGTTTCGTGATAGCCCATGTAATAAACAAGGGTATTGTCGCGGTCAGGGTTGTCTCGGTAAGTGATGTGCGGGAAAGAATGAGAGTGAGGGGGATCATAGGGAGGTTAAACCAAGCGTGGAGTGGCCACTTGCCCGGATCGTCTGTTATTAGATGATCGAACATCTCCTTGCCCAAGAATTCTTGCATGGCGTGGAGACCGTACGCAGTCGACACAACGTAAAGCCCTGTGCGGTGCATTACAACCAGTTTACTTCGCACTGTCGAGTAAAACGAACTCACCGCTACCAAATGCAACGAGCACTGTACTGAGGTTCACCGCCATCACTATTCGTCCTCCCATCGTGAGCAACTTATTGACCGCCTCCATTAATCGGAGCAGCGGCGGATTGTTGCTTTCGAGTTCGTACTCTGCACCGCACTGCGGGCACTTGAGTGCATTCTCCGCCCGAGCCGGGTTCTGCTGGGCAGTCTTGATCCACTCCAGTAGACACGACTCGTGAGCGACCAGCGTACAATTACATGGATGAACCCAGACGCTCTTGTTCTGTTGTGATTCGGGCTCTGGACGGTAGGAGTATTCAGCCTGCGCCTTAGGACACGAGCGAACCGGGACGCACGATCATACTGTTCCTCCTCCCGACATATGTAACACAGCTTCACCTGAATACTGTAGTCAATTAACGCTCGAAGTGACCTAATATCTCGACTTGCTCACCCGTAGGTCGTCCACCCCAGGAACTCGTGCAGCTTCAGCCATCGGTGGCAGGTGAACGGACGAGAGGATCGGTCAATACTCGGAATGACGCTATAAGCAAAGATGGGACGGAAGGAGCGGTTTGCTGCGCACACACAGCGTCGAAGTGGTTGGAGGGCGAGTCTTGCACGTCGATCGCCGGCGGTGTATACATCACTGTCCTCCGTTGGAATACATCTGACGTTCAGACTCTGATATGATGACTTCCATTTGGAAAGCCACGGTCTTTACAGGAAGCTGCTGCTGCATCGGCCCTCACTTTGTATAACGCAGACGTGAACAACGGAATATCTCTCATTCTCAAAACAAACCGACTACAACAAAGGATGTACAAATAGTGCGAAGGAAGCTTGAGGCGAGTTGAGGTCCATACGCAGGGCATGCTTGCGAGCGATGTCCGCCGCCTTGTTTTGTCTGCCTGAAAAATAAACAGAGAACAGAATCAATGCTCATACGGAGGCGTCTGTGCCCTGTCTTCCTCCTTTTTACCGTCTTCCGCAGGGGGCGGCGTCCTTGCCTTATCATCCCTGTCCTCCCTGTCCTCCTTGCGGGGCTCGGGGGTCGGGCTACGCCTCTTTTCTACCACAGGGCTCCTGCTCCTGCTGCGCCTCCTGTCTCTGTCCTCCCTATCTCTGTCCCTATCCCGGTCGTCCCTACGGTCACGGTCACGGTCGCGTCCACGATCTTCGCGGTCCCTGTCGCCACGGCGGGGGCTCCTGGAACGATCACGACGATCCCTGGACGATCGGGGAGGCGGAGAGCGCCGGTCGTACCTCCACACCGACGAAGGAGGGTTCTTGGCCCACTATAACGTACGTCGTCAGTTCATGATACGCGCACTGCGGTGGCAACATGATCGTACCTGGACGCTCAGGCGGTAACCTTCAAAGTACCGTGCATGCCTTGAGAGAACTTGAGAACTGTGAGAGTAGCACAAAGCGAATTGGAGGCGTACATATCGACGAAAGCATCTTCCGCATCCCTCGAGTCTCTGAACTCCACAAATGCATAGCTATGATGAATTCGAAGGGGCGTTGAGCGATCGTGTTCCGTGCGACGTGGAATCGGGAGATTGCGGCCTCGGAAGCGACACGGAGAAGAAACGAGGAGGTGATGCTGCTGCGCGCGTGGCAGGCCGTAGCATGTTTCTTTTCGCGAGGACAGGCGCGGGACGACGAAGAACGTATTGCACGGCGCGGCGCGTTTCACTGACGGCTCGACCTCGACTCGACTCGCCTGGCGCAAACATAGTAAAAGTAAGACGAAATACACACTTACGGGTTGTGCTGGGCGCGCGGGTTTCGAGGCGCTGGAACGTCGCATCGGATAAGGGGGCCGTAACTACGCATTGCAGGCCGCGTTTGTCAACACAACATCCCATCGACAGAAACGGAAGCCACACTAACCGTTCGAATTCATACGCAAGGTCGCGGGCGCGCGTGGAAGGGTGGAAGCCACTCACGAAGAGGATGCGAGGCATTGCGGACGACCTGAGCGAAAGAAAGAACAAGAGAACCTTCGAGCGCGTCGGACTGAGCAGCGAGCGGAGATGGAAATTAATGTGTCTATATTTGCATTGTGGCGCGTCAGTGGCCCATCAATTTTGATTAGACTCTCACCCAGCTCTCCCAATCAGTCTTCGCGGAGTAACGAAGTGGACCTTGTTCCCTACGTCATTGGTAGGTCCTCAGTATATCAGACTGAATCTACATGGAATCAACGTCCAGTCAATACAACCTTCTGTAACGCCAGTTAGTTCGACAATGTCATTATCGGAAGGTAGGATATTACGAGTACAATCTCTTATTTCATGTACAACTAACCATGCGCCGACTACTGCGCCACAGCCGATGCAAAGTTCCCCGGCCAGATCCCTCCAACGAAAACAGAGGGGCCGGATCCATCCAGAGAGAATCCGGCAGGGGTATGCGGGCTGTTTGCTTTTGCTTGTGGCCTGAGCTTACTTGACCGCTCTCCAGGTATATCCCAAAGTAGACCCGACACGTACGTCACGATGTTGCACTGCTCGTTCGCATACTCACGATCAACCTAGCCGCACCTCCCGACACTGAGCCTGGAACTGGAGCGCGCCACGAGTCAAAGGAGGATTACAGGCGTGAACCCGCTGCTGACTCAGCAGAGACCGGAGGCATGTTCAAGGACTGAGCGAAGTTAAGAAGTCGTCCATCACTGTATACTTGTATCAGTTTTATTACAGTACGCTACGCCGTCTGCGTCGAGAGGACATTAAATCCACTGCGATCAGCTCTAGTGATATTTATCCTCGACCCCAAGCAGTATCAAAGAGTACTCTATCCACACTGGGAGTTTCAAGCGGTAAATTGTGGCTCCAAGTAATACGCGGAAGATAATCCAACTGGACCGGCAATCCAGATGCCATTTACCTCACCACATCCCTTCCGTTCTATGAGCGCTCGCCAGGGACTATAGCGTAGACGAGGGTGCAAGTAAACAAGCCGTGTTGTCTCCTTCAGGCTCTTGCCATGTCATCGTGTCGTGAGGAGGGGCGGGCATCATCGCGTCTTTTTAGTGCAGAATATCCCGAACTTCCCTCTAATACGCCCACGTTGTGGGACAAGGCTAGGTGTTCCAAGGCTCTCCAGAATTTCCGGAGAGTCATGGTCGGTTTGATCCTCATCGAAGATTAACCAAGGGTCATGGAATGGCTTGCGGTCATTGATTTTTGGTTTCTTGGAAACCAGCGGCAGTTCGTCTGGCGCTGCGTGAATTAGATACCGTCAATAATGGTTCGAGGGTGGGAGGGGCGTAAATACCGAGACTTACGCGGCATAGATGTATCGCGCTTAGGAATGCCACTGTGTGCGCGAAAAGCTTGATTTCCAGGCCTGTCATAAGGATGATAATGACTGTTCGAGCGGTTGGACTGCTCGGAGGGCATATGATCTTCAGCGGAGCCCCCCGTAACTTTGATGCTGCCGCTAGCCGTGGAGGTACTCGTTAGTGGCACGAGCAACTGCTTGACTCGAGCTGGTTTTTCGGGAATCATCAGGAGTCAATGACTTTCTAATGAAAGGGAAGAGAACCAGCCTCGAAGTCGGACATCGTCGATAAGGTACTGCTTGGTTTGTAATGCTTCCAGTAGGTCGATGTAAATAGCTCTGTATGGCTCGTGACCGGGTGTGCAAACGACGTGTTTGGACAAAGGTATATGTGACTCGGTCAGTCGGGTCCGAGAAATCTATGCCATGCAAAAAAATTAGTGTGAACCGGTGGGAGCCCCGGCATCGCATTACCTCTATTAAAGTGACAATCTATGCAATTCATGAGCGGAAGGCCACAGGAGCAGAGAAAAGAATAACAAACCTTCCTCGAATGCCTCACAAAATCAGAAGACGAAAGTGACTTGAAAGTGAGGAGTTCCTTCGCAGCATGCCAAAAATGTTCCCTTGAGGACAGCTCTGTGGCCAGCTGTACTGCCCTCGTCTTTAAATCTACAACTGCTACCGATTGTGTTTGAGACATAGCAAAGGAAATAAGTATGTGTGGCAGGACAGGAAAATGGCGGGTGTGGTGCGGTGGTTTTGTAATGATATGTTGTGGCAAGAAAAGAGGAGCAAGACCCCGCAGTGATTACCCTGCAAGTTTGGCACTCGTTTGTCCCGCCACGGTATGTTCCGGATTCCCATTCGTGCGCCCAGTCTTCCCATCCGTGTCAAGACCGGCCGATCTCCCGCTGATACAACTCGGTTCTCTCGGAGTCACACATTCGTCTCTCGCTGGGGGTGGATCTGTCTTTCCGGGTATATTTTCGAGACGGCGGGATCTCCTGTTCTCAGAGGAAATTCCGGGCTTGGTCGAGGCGCTTCGGAGTCTAATGGTGCAAATCGTGGGAATTGACCTAGTTGGGCAGTAACCACGTGGCACACGTGTTGGACAAATGGATGTAAATAACGCGTCGACGCGATAGCGGATCGTCTACGCGCACAGGCAACGCCCACAAGCGTGATTCCTCCCACACCCACGGCATCGCCGCTGCTGCAAATTTGCGTCTTTGCTACGCGTGTCTACCTACAGAAATATTAGGCTGAGCCATGGAGTCGCTGTCGAGCAAGAAAACGGAAGAGCAGCGCCGGCAGGAGGAAATCAAGAAGCAAATCGCGCATCTCCAGGCTCAACTGAAGGATCCTACAGCCATACCCACGGATATTACTCCTTCCTCCCCGAAAAGAAAGACGCCAGATTCGAGCTTGCTGGTTCCTGCTACTCCTTCACCTAGTGCGTCTTCGGTTTACCGTATGATGTGAACCTGTCACTGATCACCGTGGCACGACTCCGGTACTCAGAAAAGAAGAGGAGAGTCAGTGACGAAGGTGAAAATAAGCTCGGAAGTCCTTCGCGCCGGGGCAACCAGAAGCCCGTTCCTCTCTCGTTCCCCATCAAGCCAACGAAAGATACTATCAGCAGCCGCAAACAGCCAAAACCGCTTCCCATCACCAAACAACCCCCTTCTAATGTACTCCAGAAACTGTCAAGTTTGAGTGGAAAGTCGACAGATGATACCTTGGAAGGAACCCTCTCTAGGTCTTCTGGCTTTAGAGACGCGCCTGCTACGAGGGTTCCTCAAGGACAGGAGCAGAGTTCAGAGACCGCACTGCGACGGGATGATAGGCTGGCTCTAGTGGAGGAGTTAGAGGTCGGACCTGCGGAGCACAGGCCCCCTTTTGATGATCCCCACTTTGAGAAACTGGAGCCTAACTCCGGAATTCGTTTATCGTGAGTCCGGGCTTTGACCTCATATCCCATCCACAACCGACTGTACTGTTCTTAGTCAACGTGCTATCCCTTATGACGAGTTCCAAGACTATCTACGAGGGCGTTACTATCTCTCACCATCTCGCCTTTACTCGGTTATCCGACTACTGCCCAGCAAGGCAGGGTATGAAGTACCCGTGGAAGGCGACTGGGTCACGATCGCCATTGTAGCCGAGAGAGGACCTGTCAAATTCAGCCGAGCGCCCGTCGGCACCACGAAAGATGACGACGGTATCGAAAGCGACAACGAGGCTGGCCCGTCCAAACCTCCAGAGTCGAAACAAGCCAAACCGAAGGGGAAAGGTAAAGACGTGCCCCAGGAGAGGAAACCCCACGGGAAACGCTACGTCAATCTAAAGCTGATTGATTTCGGGGCTCGCTCTGGCGGGGCGTCGGCTACTGGCGGTAAAGCTGTCATTCGTGGCGATGCTTTTCTGACATTGTTGCTGTTCGAGTCCGACGGCTGCGAGGTCATTGAGAATGACGAAGCGGAGAAGCGGAAGGTGTGGAGAGGAGGTAGCAAAGGGGCGTTCGAAGCCATGGCGAAGCTGAAAGAAGGCGCTGTTGTTGCGTTGTTGAACCCAAGAATTCTGAAACCGTTCCAGGTAAGGTTGCTCTGCTCGCGTTCTGTCGGCAACACTCATACAGGGCCATGGTGCGCAGCGATCGAATGATGCGCCGCACCCGGTGAACAATATACTTGCGCTGACACCGGAGTCCGCGGATAGTATCGTAGTCATCGGACACGCCAAAGACCTCGGGATGTGTACCGTTGTCAAGAGGGATGGGAAGATCTGCGGAGGTTGGTGCGACAAGCGCGTCAGCGATGTTTGCGAGTGGCACATCCAAACCGCAGTCGAGAGACGAAGAGCTGGTAGAAGCGAGTTTAGTATAGGGCAAGTAAAGATGATGCATTCACCGCTCTCCATCTTATAACTCACACCTTGGGGATAGAACGTCTGGCATGTCGAGTAACCCTGGCGGGAAACGTAGACGACCAGAGTACGATCCCCAGCGTCAGTGGGGGCTCAAGCCTGAGCTCAACACGGGCGCGGGTGCAGTTTATGTTGTGTCTGGGCACGTCGTGTCTGGCTCCTCGGGCAAGAACGATATGTTCGTGAGCGAGACGATAGGTAGGGAGGGTCAGGCGAAAGCTGCACGGAAGCTCGCGGCGAAGGACGCTGACAAGGCACTGCGCGGGATACTGAAGAGGGACAAGGAGGGAATGAAGGCCGTCGTTAAGGCGAGGGAGTTCGGCCTGAAGGAGAAGGAGAAGACGAAGGGCGGCGTGAATAAGAAAGGGGATGCCAAGGGAAAGGAGAAGGCAGACGCACCAGAGGCCAGCGAGGGGACGTCCAAAGTCAAAAACGCTTTCTCGGCGAAGATGATAAAGGAACTCGGCTTCGATCCTACGAATAAGAACGGGTCCAGGAAAGCGGATGAGGACAGCGAGGTGCAGAAAAAGGTGCGATGCGTTTCGTACCCAGCGTGGACGATGCTGATTACCGGCAGCTCCAAACGCTGACGTCGCTGACGTCCCTCCGCTCATGTAAGAAGGATGCAGACTTCGAAGCATCCCTTAGCTCAAGACCGGGAAGACGGCGATCTCAACTAACTGTCCCGCTGCAGGGAACATCTGATGTCGGCACGGAGGAGAAGATGGTCGACCTGGATGATTAGTGGGTCTGAGACGGATTAGTGGATCAGACATTATATTGGACATGTGTTCTCATCAATTACAGGGTAGTACGACTTGCGACATGAAGATCATGTATGAGAGATCAGGAGTGTTGATTCAAGGACGACAAAGGCCAAGTCAGAAAATAGGAAAGTCCGCAAATTCCTCCTTTCTTCAGATGGCGAATAAGTCCTTAGGATTTCCATCGTCCAACGCTGGAACGTTCAAGCACGGTGGAAGAAATTCGCACGAAAAGGTACAGCTGACGCCTGAAACCCTAACCTAAGAGGCGACCGTGCGAAACGCCCATTGAGATCTTCAGGTGAATCGCCTTGGAATCGCCCACTTGCCAGAGGAGCGTAGCCTGCTATCGAGATTCGACACTGCTGTAATCAGTCAGAGCCCTGCCCCTCATCTGGTGTGATCTACGAAGGAGGTACGCGCTGAACAATACCAGAACCGCATCTTGCAGGTTTGCAGGTAATCGGTGAAGATCGGGAATCCTCTACATACGATTCTACGAACACCGGCTCATACACGAAATATGATGTTACATGTGACCTTACTGAACTTCCTTTGAAGTCAGTTAACCGTTGGGCAGGCCCTTAGAGTGATTCCCTTGACGGTCCAAGTCCGCGAGCGTATGATCATGCTCGTGATAAAGACGATGCCTTCGCGTTTTGGCGTTCGTGGATATACGCCGAAAGTATCGAAGAGCAGTTGTATCTCCAGTTATAGAAGACACCACTGCTCCTTCGATACGTTTGTGAACTTAAGTGAAGGTGCATTGCCCCCCTTGTATGTTTGTCGATCGGATCGGCATAACCCTCTGGTACGTCACATTATCCCCCGGTTTCCCTCTTTCCAAGCGTTGACGTGGGATGCTGCAGCGTCCTGCCCACGAAGTACTCGACTCGAGCCTACATAACAAACTTTACGGGGGGACGATGGTTTTTACGCTCGACTCTGACCTCTGTAGCCGAGCGCACCCTCCAGCGCTTTGCAATCCAGACCGACCTTCTCTGGCGCGACGCCTTGGCTGACGAGAACGTGGTGGATGACAGCGGCCGGCAAGTTCGACTGCCAGTGGTATAAAAGGTGAGTCCGGACTTGAACTACCTCTTCATCTTGAACACAAACCGTTACGAAGGCTTTCGACCACCGTCACGACTACAGCAGCATAGCAACACTACTACAATGTATTCTCTCAACATCAACCTCCTCGACTTCGCGGCCCTCAAGCGCCTCGTCGTCAACACCTTCGGCGGCGGCACCGCTCCGCCTGAGGTCGTCGACCGCCCTGCGGCCTGGGTCAAGACCTACATCCAGCCTACTCGCACCCACAGCGGAAGCCCCACCAGAACCTACGGGTCGGGATTGTCGGGACCAGTCGACAACGTGCTCGCCCTCGTTCTCTTCATCATCGGGTCGTTCCTTCTGTTCACTTCGACGGGCCCTCTGAGACGCCAGGGCGACGGCGCCGTCTTCACCATCCAATGGTGTTGCGAGCTGATCTCCCTCTTATTCCTCCTTCCAGGTGCTTTCCCCTTTGAGTTCAGCCCAACTCGTGTCTATCGTTGGGCTCTGGCCCTTGCTCGCACCTCGCTTCGCGTAGCCTTTCGGCCCCTTCAATACAGCCTTTTTGTCTTCGTCGGTCTTCAGGATCTACGCAACTCTCAAAGCCTTAACGAGAAGGTCATCCTCACCTCGGCGCTCCTGACATGGCTCATCGTCATCGCATCCGCTTTCCACCTCGCTTGGACCCTTTGCGTCAAGACGAAGGGCGAGAAGTACGAGAGGTTCTCATCCGCCGTATGCTCTCTCGCTTCTGCTGGGTTGCTTGTTGGGTCGTGGATTGCTCTCAACAATCTAGAGCACCGATGGTACCTCAACGCGATCCCTCGCCGTGGTCAGGAAGGATTTTACCCCGTGGAGGCGCATATGACAAACGAGGCTATCTTAATGGTGTTGGAGGCATGGTGCTATATTGCATGGTACTTCCTCGGTGTCCCGGTATGTTCCCGGTGGCTGCACTACTCGTGCACCGTGCTGACCCCGTATAAGGATGTGATCGCGCGTAAGGCCTGGAACATCGCGAACGTCGTCCCTGCTCCGTTCCTTTTCGCATTAGTCCTCGCCGTCGCGGTTACTCTTTTAATCCTCGCGGCGGCTCGGTGCGTCAAGTCGCGGATCCGGAGAATACGAGCGGACGCCGCATTCATCTTGCTATACTGCCTGGATTTTACCAAGGTCTCCTCCAATGCGAAGTATTACAGCCGGGTTTTCAAAGCCGGTTCTGCTCCGGTGAGCCTTCTTATTCTTCCCGTTCGAGATTAGCATCGACTGAAAATATCGCTGCGTCAGCGCTCTCGCCACCGCTTCCTTCCTGCTCCTAAGGCATCATTCTCTGAGAACAGTTACGAGGATATCTTCGGGGATCTGCTCGCTGACCTCGACGCTATGAAGCAGGAGCGCGAAGAGGAGTACAAAGGTGCGTATTGTATTTCTTTGGTGTGAGTACATCTCTCATTTCCATGCATGTAGATATTCGTCAGGAGCAGAGCAAAGCGCGAAGAACCCTCCTTTATTCATGGATAGATTTACGTCTTGCCGACAAACGCATCAACGAGCTGAATTGGGCCCTTCCCCACCCAATTTCGTCCTCGACGCCCGTTCCAGAGGAAGAGTCTCGCAATGAAGGCGTAGTCCAATCTACTCTCGCGGATCGCACTTTCCAGCTCTCCTCCTCGCCGCGTCCCGTCGAACCTAGTCCCGTGGTACCTGTCCTCCAGTTCGCTGCCTCGTCGTCGTCCCCTTCGGTCGTTTCGAGCGAGTCTACGGCAAGCACAGTTGACAGAACCCATCCGTCGTTCCCGGATCTGCGCGATGAGCTCGTTCGTTTCGCTGCTTCTAATTCTGAGGAAGAATTCCAGCTTCCAACGTCTCCGGAAAACTCTTTCTGTGACGATTCGGAAGACGAGGTGGAGAGAATCCT